ATCCGGCAATGCATCATTGCCAGCGATCAAGTCCTTCTCGTGTAGTCTGTGGTGAATTTTACCAGGAGCAGCCCTCGATGCCTCTGAGTCCTGGTCTTGCTCCAGAGTTCCACTTTCATATGGGATCTCTGTCTTATGTTGATGCTCTTTTGCACCCCATTCGTTTTTATACCGCTTTCCCACATGAGTCTGTTAGAGATGTAATATTAATTACCCAGAAATCTCAGTCTGCGATTGTTTCAACACCATTCTTAAATGAAGACAGACTTCATTGCATGTATTTCTATTACTTCAGCTACTTCAATTTCTATTTTTATTGCAAAGTTCTGTGCAAATAAAAGGATATCAAAAGGTATGGCTATAAATGGGCTCTGCTAAATTCCCTCTGCCTTGAAATGCCTGTGAGCTTCTGCTACAAAATGCCTGCTGCATTTTAATGCCTTTCCTGCAAGGCAGCGTGATATGGTGGAAATCACACTGGTCCTGAAGTCACACAACGCCTGGTCCACCATTCGCCAGCTGTGCTACTTAACTTCCTGGAGCCTCGGTGCCGGCATCTGCGAAATGTCACTACGTTATCTTCACAAATTTGATTGAGGATTAGATGAGATGAAGTATATAAGGCATAAGTACTATACTTAGGGCATCACAGGGGCTTAATACATGTTAGTTTCTTTTCTCCAGCCTGCAGCAGTAATGGGAGGAGACCATGGTATACACAGAGCATCTGCCTTCAGCTCAGGTCATGATCTTGGGGTCCTGGCTGGGATCGAGCCCCACATAGGGCTCCCTGCTCGGCAGGGAGTCTGCTTCTCACTCTCTCTCTCTCTCCCCTCCTCCCCATCACTCATTCTTTCTCTTTCAAATTAATAAAACCTCTAAAAATAAATAAAGTGTACTTCGATTGAGGTCACTGCAAACTAGAAGAATATAAAGAATTAGAAGAATAAGGTTAGATTTCAAAGGAGGAGATAATGCCTTACTGTGATGTTTATTGCATATGGAAATGTATTGCTATAGGTTTACTGCATATGGGAATATATCACTATGATGAAAAGGACATGGTTTCTGAACTCCTTCACAACTTTAAACTCTGTCCAGGTCGAAGTGTAATAAGAAGAGCCTGTTTAACTATATCTACCTTTAAAGGCATAAGCAGTATCATTTATAAGAAGTCACTACAACATAAATCTGTTTTGTTATACTGCTTGAATTAATTTTACATAAAACTTCAGCACATTAAAAGTGCAGGAGTGGTGCTGACCATCTACATATGAATACAGGTAGAGTAGGAATTTTTGTAAGAATGGCCAAACTTTATTTCATCCAGTGAACAAATAACACAGAAAGCCTAATTTTCAAAGTAGGAACTTAAAGATGAGGTTATTGATACTTTGACTGATTTTATATGGTTGCAAGGCTATTTGAGGGACATCATAATCTGATGAAACTTTGGAAGCTTCTAAGGTATCTTTTAGTAGATTGCTAGTGGCTTTCTGAAGTTCTGGGTTAAGAAGGATTCTAAGGCCACATCTAGGTTCATTAGGAAAGAATGCTATAATCAATTACTTAGGTCTGCTCTGGGCAGGAAGTGAAGGGAGTAATAGCTTGTATCAGTGTGTTTGATATGTAAGTGTTCCATAAATAATAGCTATTATAATTATTGCCACTGTTATGACAAAGATGTTTTTATGTTCCTCTTCAAATTTCTACATTTTCAACACAAAATGGGATCAATTGACTGCTTCGGTCACAACAGCCATGCGTATCATTTTTATTGACTTAGTGGTAAGTGTGTCAGTATTATCCGCAGAGAAGAGCTGAAAAATGGGATCGGAATTTGCTCGTCCTAATTTTATTATGTCAAACACTTGATATAAACAAGGGGAAAAATCTGATATAGTTACTAAGGGCAGGATGAGGGCTGGAGAGAGAAAAAAAAAGAGATAAGGGTGAGGTGTAGTCTGGGGTCCTTATGAAAGGTTTGCTCCGTGTCCCACATCTTCTTTAAAGTATTCACACCAGGGAGAAGATGCAGCATGTTTTGCACTTAGATGGTCCATGACTTTCTAGACTTTTTTCCTGTTTTTTTCTCTGAGGCCAGATTTCTTTTCAGGGTAAATAGTCATGTTCCTGTCAGCCATAGGGGATTTTCTGAATCCTAAACAGCTGATTTTGTATTCTTGCCCCGTTCCCTCTATTTGAGAACTAAAATCTGATCAGACCCATATTTTTAAATTTATGTATTTATAGGCATATGGAAGAATAGTTTATAGTCTGAGTATAATTTTTTTTCCACTGCAAATGTAGGAAAATTGTGGGGAGTTTTAAAACAGTGCCTTATCATTTTTTTTCCTTTATTACTGATGACTTCATTCTGCTTGAATTCAGTGCTTCAGTTTCTTTGGGTAAACTAATAGATTATGTATGCAATGTTTGCACCACGTTGATTGAACTCATCTGGTGAGTTTGAGCCTGGCTCACACGTTCACGTCATCAGCAGAAGCCTGTGCACCGCACACGGGCGCCATAGACAGCTCACGGTCCTCAAGAGGAAAGGAAGCTGGTCCTCAGAGACCTGGCCTGCCTCGCCTGCCCTCACGTTGTTCAGAAAAGCATAGCAGACCTTCCATTTTTTCTTTTCTTATTATCTTTCTCAAATGCTCAAAAATTTCTTCATTTTTTTTTTTTTATTTGAGTGTAGCTGACGCACAGTGTTACCTTAGTTTCAGGTGTCCAGCAAAGTGATTCAGCCACTCTGTGTTGTACTGTGCTCGCCACAAGTGTGGCTCCTGTCTGTCACCACGCAATGCTGTTCCAGTACCGTCGAGTATGTGGCTGTGCCTTTCATCCCCATGGCTGTTTCATTCCATAACGGGAAGCCTCTACCTCCCAGTCCCCTTCACCCATTTTGCCCCTCTCTCCACTCCCTCTCCTCTGGCAACCACCAGAATGTTCTCCGTATTTCTGGTCTCATTCTACTTTTTTCTTGGAAAAACTTTTACTTTAAGAAAAGCCTAGTAAAGAAACAAAACTGTCTTGAGTGTTTTTAAATACATATTGAAGAAAAATAAAAATATGTGATCCCCAGGGGTTTGTCTTTTTTTAATAAAAGGCGTGGGCTGCTGCATGTCTGTGGAACGCATAGGAAGCCCAGAACCCTATGTTAACTTTGTAGAGATATTGTAAGACATCACCAGTTAACTTACGATCTAGTTGGGGAAGAATGCTTTTCCTCCAAAAGATGTTCACTCACCATTTTCTTTTCACAGTTTACAAGTCTAGCTTCAAAATTGTTTCACCAAATAGTAGATGACTTCTTTCTGTTGCTTTCCGGTATCTCCTTTAATGTGAAGTCTCCTTTAAACTTACAACTCCACGGTAATACATGGGAATCTTCTGGCATGCCCAGCTCTTCACAGTGGGTCCCTTTCTTGCCTTCTCAGTCTCGCCTGTCCCTCCTCACTGCCCCCTCCCATCTACCCTGTCTACCAGAGCAGTGATCCTCACCTACCCATCAGACACAAGTGTCCGTACGATTACATGTTGCTATGAATTGAGTTCAAGTACCCAAATTTGCAGGTGATATACTTCTGTCATTGATTAGAGTAAATTCAATATATCCCTAAAGTCACCAGCACTCGTTTGTATTCTAACTCGCTCCCTAAATGAGAAAGGGAAGGGAACATGGGTTGCCTGAGATGTGTGTGTGTGAGGCAGGACAGAAGAAGTTGAAGATCACTGCTTGCCCACATGGACTTACTTCCATCTGTTCCCCCAAGGCGAGATTCCTTCTCATTTCTGTCGGCTGCATCGCCCTTCCCTCTACCTGAAATTTCCTCTACCTGAAATTTCCTCCTCCCACTTGTCCAGCTGTTGAACCCCTATATATCCTTCTAGACTCGCTAAGGTGTCACCTCCTCTGTGGAGCTTTCCATAATCTTCTTCCATGGCCCTGCTCTCCCTCTGATAGTTTAAGCAGTCACTGTCCCCACAGTCCCTTATTAGATTGCTGTTGTAGCACCTGGACTGTAGCCTTCTGTATGCCCTTCAGTCCCCTCATTCCCAGACCATGTGTTTTTTGCAGACAAGGACTATGAACTGTTTATCTTCACTTTCCTAGATCTTAACACAAGCTCTGGCTCAATAGGACACTCGGTTATGTCTCAGATGAACCAAAGAAGTTGAATGGTTGTTGAAATGTGCCTAGCATTCTCCTCTTATTTCCTAGCCCTGAATTGTATCCCATGATGTTGGTTCTGTTGAAACGATCGTGACTAATCCAAGCTAAAAGGGAGCCACTGGCTGACCAGTTTGGGGTTGCATGGATGAGTCACTGAGAAACTGTAATTCCTGAGAGAAGGAAGGGACTAGAGTAGAGAGAGGAGAATCGGGAGTAATGTAATGAAGTAATGAAGGTGGAATATTCCACTATCACCCATTTCTTTAATTTTTCTTTTTGCTTCTTGATATGGCTTCTGCTTTCTTTGCTTTCCCTATGCCCTGTGGGCCCATATGCTGACATGTACGCTACCCCCCACTTTAGCAGTGCATCAGTGTCACTGACATGAACACTGGCGCACGCCAACTCCATGCCACCTCCCATCTTCAGGTCGAACAACTGGTCTCAATTTGGCAGCTTCTTATTGGAGAAAATGAAATAATTACATTAAAATTTAGCCAAATTCTGTGCAGATGATTGTAAGAAAAGAGAGATGGCTCTTTTAATTGCTCTAAAGGTCAAGACCTTACAGTACCTTTTCACTCAAAAGAAATTTGTTAATCCCAAGTCAAATGTTTTGACCCTTGGAGCTAAATATATTTATATAAAGACCTTTTTTTGCTCACTTTTATTACTGATTTTACAGTTTTCCTAGCATATTTGAATCACATTGTTGAATCATCCCAATTTAGATGTCAGCTCCTTTAATAAGACCAGAAAGTGACTTCCCAGGATGATGTACGCCATGTGAGTGTGTTTGTATGGTTATGTTCCACAGTGGCCGGCCTGCAAGTGGGAGCACGGACCGCATCCAGAAGTTGCGGAAAGAGTATTATCAGGCCCGGAGGGAAGGATTCACCTTATATGAGGACGACGAGGGAAGATCGAGGCTAGATTATGACCTTCACTGGGTAAGTCTGGGCCTCATTCTAATCATTGAATTCATCTCAACTGAGATAGTTTCTAGCAGAAGAACATGGCTAAGAATGTTCTATACATACCAAGCTATATTTAGCTTACTTGAGTTTCACAGATACGAGCATTACCCAAACCACAGCCATCTTGTCCCACAGAAGTTGTTTACATAAATCAAACCACACTAATGCACGGTAGTTTATTTTAATTGCTTTCGTATTTACTCTCTGTTGGACTTGTATACCAACGTGTTAGGGCGGAGCAGATGGTCGCTATTTTAAAGAGGACAAGGAATCTACTGAACCTTGATCCTTGCCTCCCGCTGCTTGGGTTTCAGAATCTGGGCAAGCATTAACAGACCATGCGCCGCAAACCATCTTTCCTTTGGGAAAGGATATTAGAAGTAAATCTCGGAATGGTCATCCTCCGAGCCACCAGTTGTGTGTATATGGCATCTGCGTAATTCCCATTTTGCCCATCTCACCAGTACGCTAAGAGACGTTTACTTTGAGATAAGAACAGCTTTTGTATTTTGCCAAATCCTTCAACATTTGTGAGCAGGAAAGAAGACTGTGACCTCTAAAGAGAGCTTCTGTGGGTTTTTCCAGGAGACATGATTCATTCTCTTGTCTTTTTCAAGAAGGCACGGCTCTACCGACAAAACACACTTAACTTTGGAGCATTCACAAAAATACCAGAGGAGAGTGCTTAGAGCTGGATTAAAGTACATGTCACATACTTAGAGCAGGTGCCTGCCACTGACTTGGTATTCAATAAATCTCGGCTCTCGTTACTCACATTATTGGAGCCGAGATGTCCATTGTAATAGTGATGTCCCTGCCGTGAAGCCGGCTCTCACTCACCCTCTTTGATGGTTACTGCCTCCTACTACCATTTTTAGTGCTGCTTTGAGAACCACACAAGGAACTCTCTTATCCCTGGTGGCCACTAAAGACACCAGGTCTTGTGAAGGACGAATCTATTAAGGGAAAGTTTCCTTTCCTTATTTTCACACTCATGTGCTCACAAGGTCAGGGTTGGGAGAGCAGAGTCCAGCAACCAGGCGGATTCCTTCCGTTTCTCACTTCAGTGCTGTGGCTTCTCACGTGTGGCACCTCCCACTCTTGTGCTAGTGTTTGAAAGGAAGCAGCCGCAGTACCCGCCGCTGGTGTGCAGAGCCCCTGACACTCCTCGGCTCGGTAGATGCTTCTGGTACGATGGCATTTAATCAGAAATGCAAAATAAGGATTGGCGGTCTCCGACCAAATGGCTCTGGCCTCGTCCAGAGATAGGCACTTGTAACTAGAGGTCATAACACAGAGCTTTCTGTTGGTTTTATTACAGATGTTAGGATTAAACAGAATGGCATTTATAGTGATGGGGCAACGGGTCGCTTCGACTCTTGGTAACGGAAGAGAAAGATTTCCCCAGAATAACGATTTAGATAACAATTCACTTCATTTTAAACTTAATTGAGATCAATGTATTAACTTTGATGACAGACTGTATACATAAGGCTCTGCTCCCTTGATCAAACAAACAAGCAATAAAAATAAGGAAGTTTTTCCACCATAACCAAAACAGACCACCATGTCCAGGGCATGGAAAAGTCCTCCATCTCAACATCACCACAAACAACTAGAAGCAAAGTAAGGCAAGTAATTTTAGATGAAACAGTCCTGGTTGTTTTGACCTTATTTTATGTGATCTCCTTACACCAAGTGGAAAGGTTGAAAATGCTTAAACTTCACGAGACTTCAGGTTTTCCCTGACCCTCACCAAACTTGAAACAGATAACCCATCCACTCCAGTCCTCTCTATCTTGATGATTCTGGTTTTATTCCAAACAAATGTGGAACCAGACAATCTAGGGAGTAAAGAAGTATCTCTTTTAATTTGTGTTTCCCATGCTCAAGTGTATTGAGTGTTGCCAAAAGTGATTTTACATTTCTGAGATGAGTGGGGACTAAGGCATCCCAAAGGGATGCTTGCAAAGTGTGCTGTCATAAAAGCCTAGTGCTCTCTGTGACAACCTGAGAGACTCCAAACCAGGGAGGAGAGTCTCAGCCCTTTCTCTATCTCTCTGCAAGCCAAGAGAAAACACTAGTATCTTTTGTCCAGTGCAGGCCTGACAAATCACACTGTGGTCTTGCTACTTTTGGATAGATCTAGGAGAGCAAGTTTAGAAAGTTAGCACTTTATCCCTGCTTGTCATCCAGACCTAACAAGGCTGCTTTTCTTGAGACTGTGGTTCCTGATCTGTCTGGTCTTCAGCATCACGGGGGGTGCTTGTTAAAATTGGATCACCAACCCATAAAAAAGAAGCGTGTGGCCCAAGGGAGGGTGGCTAGGTGCTTCTCTGTGTAATTATCAAGGTATCTGCCCACGATTCTAAAAATAGGACACTGAGGGGCACCTGGGTGGCTCAGTAGGTTAAAGCCTCTGACTTCAGCTCAGGTCATGATCCCAGGGTCCTGGGATCGAGCCCTACATTGGGCTCTCTGCTCAGCAGGGAGCCTGCTGCTTTCCTCTCTCTCTCTCTCTCTCTCTCTGCCTGCCTCTCTGCCTACTTGTGATCTCTCTCTGTCAAATAAATAAATAAAATCTTTAAAAAAAAATAGGACATTGATTCCAATCACTGCCTTAAGCAAAATAGTTCAATTTCTCTAACAAAATCATGACATGGACCAGCATCATCAAAAATGACTTTTGTGGACTCAGAACTTCCTGGACCTAGTACTGCAGATGTAGAGGCCTACAAATATTCTAGAGTCCCCCTAGACTGGGAAGCTTCTGAACTATGGAGAAGCAAATTAGGAAGATAAGTTACCTCAGAGCTACTTCTAGTTGACCAGACAGAATAAAAGTAGGCTCACAGAAGTCTTCAAAGCCAAAATTAGTAAAGCAATCACTGGAAAGATTAGTAAGATCTATGACTATTTTTAAAAATATGTTGTTGTCGTTGGGACTAATAATTCTATCCTTGGCCTACCTCGGACTTTCTCATTTTCCCAGGCTATCCTATAGGCAGTTCTCTGTCCGGTGGCTCCAAGCTGAAGGCTTTCCCCACTGCTCTCTTGGGTTCCCACTTGCTTCCACAGCCCTTGCTTCTTTCTCTCTTTTGTCTATGGCTCTGATCAAATTTTCACATAGGCCAGGTGCCAATCCAAGAATAGAGTATTATCTCTACCTTGGAGGAACTCACCGTCTAGCCAGGAATACAGACAACGGAGGCAAAATGAATAAAAGGACAATAACATATGTGAGAAATTCTGTAGTAGAGAACGTCTTGGCTTCTCGACGAGCTCAGCAGCAGCAGTTCCTTCTGCTGAAGGCAGGGTGTGTGGCCAGGGCTGCAGGGGACTCCACAGAGTCATTTAGGAGTTGCCTCAGCGGGCAGATTTGGTTCCTTTTCTCATAGACTTGGTGGTTTTCTTTTTCCCAAAGGAGCTTCTGATTTATTCACTTCATTTGTGTTCAGATAAATGAACACACACACAGATTGCAAGGTTTGTAAATATGGACAAGAGACCTTAAAAATCTTTTCAGCCAGCCTGTTCTGGAGCTGTTTTCCCAGGGAGGCTCTGAAAAGCTGTAAAGAACAAGTGGAGAGAATTTCAATGCTGGGAAGTGAAATGGCCTGGCGAGTTTTTATAGGCCCAATTAAGTAAGCAAGATATGCTAGCCGTTAAGTGTTAATATTTGCCAAAAGAAAACATAATACCTGTTATCTCCTGGTATGTTATTTTCTGTAAAACTTGTTAAGACGATCACAATCCTCTGGCAACAGACTGGGGTATTTTTTATTAGCAGATAAAAATGATCTGCTTATTTAACAGCAGCATGAAGATTCTGCAAGTAATTTCAGAAACGGGATGGCTCCAGAGTTTTCTAAAAATATCAGTACCTTTATTATTGTCTTTTTTCAAGAGCTGCATGGAATATACCGTATGCTTCCTCCTCTTTTTAACTCTCTGGCTAAATTAGAATTTCTATCTATGAAAGGGGTTTATAGATTCATAGATGGGAAGGAGGTACTGAAAATACCACTGTCGTAGAATACAGGGTCATGTACCTTTCTGGCCAAGGGGATTGGTTCAGGTGATGGTTGGGTGAATAAATGGAAACTGAAACTCTGAAAGATTCGCTCACTCTGAAGATGGCCTAGGAGCCAACTTGAAGAAACGTGGTTGGCAGCTGTCTAGACAAGAAAGACACATCTGGTGAATTCTGCAGTCAGAGGAGAGAGCAAGATGCGATCATGCTAACCATCTTATGAAAGGGATTTAAGATGGAATGTGTAATAGCCACACAAGTGTAAAAACTATCAGAAGGTTATTTTCTAAATATGAGGGATAAGAGAAATGAGTTCCTGTTGTCAATGGTCCAACACCAGAATTGAGTTGTCTGTATTTTCCCTCTCTGCACCTTAAAGATATCTGAAAAAAAACAAAACAAAACAACTAAGGACACTGATGAAAAATTCTAGATTAGTCAATGGCTCTTAGGTCACAAAAGAACATAAATCTGACTCAAACTGGCCTAAGCAAAAAGGGAAATTTTGTTGACCTGTATAACTTTAAAATCCATAGGTATATCTGACTTCAGGCAAAGCTGGATCCAGCTCCATCGTTATTCTCTTTGTAGGCACCATTCTCAGGGATTCCTTCATATGGTAGTGAGACAACCAGTGGCAGCTCCAACTCAACACCTTTATAAACCCCCCCAGTACATCCAGGAAGTCTTAGAACTGATGTTCGATGCAATCCTGAATGGCTTCTTGACTCAGCCTGGGTCACATGCCCACTTCGGAACTCCCTTGTCGAGAAAGATGCAGTACCATTACTGGCCAGAACTAGGTCACGAGATCACCCTGGAACCACAAAGTAGAATCAGGCCTACACAAATCGCATAAATGGTTCTAGATGAAGAGGTAGTCCCCATAGGAAGATCAAGGTGCTAATTAACAGGGGAAGGGAAGAGGGATGTTGGGCAT